ATTAGATCATGAGGGGAAAATTAGAGAACTAAGTGATTCTATGAAATGAAAAAATACCTGTATCATAGGAGTCCCAGAAGAATGAGAAAAGGGGTCAGAAGGTTTATTTGAACAAATAATAGCTGATAACTTCCCTAATCTGGGGAAGGGAACAGGCATCCAAGTCCAAGAGGCACAGAGAACTTCCTTCAAAATCAATAAAAACAGGCCAACACCATGACATATCATAGTGAAACTTGCAAAATATAAGGATAAAGAGAGAATTCTGAAAGCAGGTAAGGATAATAAGTCCGTAACCTACAAGGATAGACACATAAAGTTCGTAGCAGACCTGTCCACTGAAATCTGGCAGGCCAAAGGGGAGTGGCAGGAAATATTCAATGTGCTGACTGGAAATTATGCTGCCAAGAATACTTTATCCAGTAAAGCTGTCATTCAGAATATAAGGATAGATAGCAACTTTCTGAGACAAAAACTAAAGGAGCTCCTGACAACTAAACCAGCCCTGCAGGAAATCCTAAGGGGGACTCTGAGAGATGAAAAGAAAAAAACCAAAGCAGCAAATACTTCAAAGGACCAGAGACCATCACCAGAAACACCACATCTACAGATAATGCAATGGCACTAAATTCATATCTTTCAGTAATCACTCTGAATGTAAATATACTAAATTCTTCAATCAAAAGATATAGGTTATCAGAATGGGTTAAAAAAATATCCATCTTATGCTGCCCACAAGAGACTCATTTTAGACCTATAGTCACCTGCAGATTCAAAGTGAGGGAATGGAGAACCATCTAGCATGCTAATGGAGGTCAAAAGAAAGGGAGAGCAGCTACATTAATATCAGCCAAGCTACATTTTAAAAGAAAGACTGTTGGGGCGCCTGGGTGGCGCAGTCGGTTAAGCGTCCGACTTCAGCCAGGTCATGATCTCGCGGTCTGTGAGTTCGAGTCCCGTGTCAGGCTCTGGGCTGATGGCTCGGAGCCTGGAGCCTGTTTCCGATTCTGTGTCTCCCTCTCTCTCTGCCCCTCCCCCGTTCATGCTCTGTCTCTCTCTGTCCCAAAAATAAATAAAAAAATAAAAATAAAAGAAAGACTGTAACGAGAGATGAAGAAGGACATTATATCATAATTAAGGAGTCTATCCATTAAGAAGAGCTAACATTTGTCAATATTTATGCCCCCAATGTGAAAGGCAAATATATAAATCAATTAATCACATACATAATAATACCCCAATTACAACAATGGACAGATTATCTAAGCAGAAAATCAACAAGAAAATAATGACTTTGAATGACACGTTGGACTGGATGGACTTCACAGATATATTCAAAACATTTCATCCTAAGCAGCAGAAAACACATTCTTTTCGAGTAAACATGGAACATTCTCCAGAATACATCATACACTGGGTCACAAATCAGCCCTCAACAGGTACAAAAAGATTGAGATCATAGCATGCATATTTTCAGATCACAATGCTATGAAACTTGAAATCAACCCACAAGAAAAAGTGTTGGAAATACCTCAAATACATGGAGGAGGTTAAAGAACATCCTTAAAGAATGAATGGGTTAACCAGGAAATTAAAGAAGAAATTTAAAAAATACATGGAAGCAAGTGAAAATGAAACACAGTCCAAACACTTTGGGATGCAGCAACGGCAAGTCCTAAGAGGAAAATACATTGCAATCTAGATATATCTCAAGAAACAAGAAAGCTCCCAAATACACAACCTAAACTTACACCTAAAGTAGCTAGAAAAGGAGCAATAAATAAAGCCCAAAGCCAGCAGAAGGGAAATAATAAAGATCAGAGCAGAAATAAACAATATAGAGAAACAAACACACAAACAAACAAACAAAAAAACACAGTAGACTAGATCAATGGAACTAAAACCTGTTTTTTGTATTTGAAAGAATAAACAAAACTGATAACCCCCTAGCCACACTTCTCAAAAAGAAAAGAGAGTGGACCCAAATAGATAAAATCACGAATGAAAGAAGAGAGATTATGGGGCGCCTAGGTAGCTCAGTCAGTGAAGCATCCAACTTCAGCTCAAGTCATGATCTCAGAGTTCGTGGGTTCGAGCCCCATGTCAGGCTCTGTGCTGACAGCTGGGAGTCTGGAGCCTGCTTCATATTCTGTGTCTCCCTCTCTCTCTGCCCTTCCCTCACTCATGCTTTGTATCTCTCAAAGATAAATAAACATTTAAAAATAAAAAAAATAAAGAAAGAAAGAGAAGGGATCACAACCAACATCACAGAAAGACAATTATAAGAGAATACTATAAAAAATTATATGCCAAAAAAATGGACAATTGGGAAGAAATGTACAAGTTCCTAGACATTCACACACTACAAAACTCAATCAGGAAACAGAAACTTTGAACAGACCCATAACCAGCAAAGAAATTGAATTAGGTATCAAAAATCTCCCAGTAAATAAAAATCCTGGGCCACATGGTTTCCCAGGGGAATTTTACCAGACATTTAGAGTTAATACCTATTCCTCTCAAGATGTTCCAAAAAATAGAAATGGAAGAAAAGGTTTCAAACTCATTCTATTAAGCCAGAATTACCCTTATTCCAAAACCAAAGACCCCATTAAAAAGGAAAATTACAGGCCAATATCCCTAATGGACATGAATGCCAAAATTCTAAACAAGATAATAGCAAATCAAACTCAAGAGTACATTAAAAGAATTATTCATCATGATCAGGCAGGATTTATTCCTGGGCAGCAGTGATGGTTTAATATGCACAAATCAATCAATGTGATATACCAAATAAATAAAAGAAAGGCTAAGAACCATATGATCTTTTCAATATATGCAGAAAAAGCATTTAACAAAGTGTAACATCCATTCATAATAAAATTACTTAACAAAATAGGTTTGGAAGGAACATACTGCAACATAGTAAAGGCTATATATGAAAAACCCACAGCTAATATCATTCTCTATGGGGACACAGTGAGAACTTTTCCTCTACAGATGTAACAGAACAAGGATATCCACTCTCACCACTGTTATTTAACATAGTACTGGAAATCCAGTACTATGCCAATTGTCTCAGCAATCAGACAACACAAAGAAATAAAAGGTATCCAAACCAGCAAGGAAGAAGTAAAACTTTCACTATTTGCAGATAACATGATATTCTATAAGAAACCTGAAAGACTCCACCAAAAAGTTGCTATAACTGGTATATAAATTCAAAAAAGTCACATGATACAAGATAAACGTACAGAATTTTTTTGAATTTCTATACACCAATAATGAATCAGCAGAAAAAGAAATTAAGCAATCGACCCACTTACAATAGCACAAAAATAAATAAATAAATAAATAAATAAATAAATAAATAAATAAAACAATAAGATACCTAAGAATAAACCTAATCAAAGAGGTGAAAGACCTGTATTTTGAAAGTTATAAAACACTGATGAAATAAATTGAAGAGGATGAAAGAAATGGAAAGACATTCCATGCTCATGGATTGGAAGAGCAAATATAATTAAAATGTCTGTACTACCCAAAGCAATTGACACATTTAACACAATCCCTATCAAAATACCACCATATTTTTTCACAGAGCCAAAACAATCCTGAAGTTTGTATGGAACCACACACACACACACACACACACACACACACACAAATGCCAAAGCAAACTTGAAAAGAAAAGGAAAGCTATAGGCATCACAATACCAGATTTCAAGTTACATTACAAAATTGTAGTGATCAAAACCATATGGTACTAGCACAAAAAAGAGAGATACATAAATCAATAGAACAGAATGGAAAACCTAGAAATGAGCCCACCACTATATGGTCAATTAATCTTTAAGAAAGCAGGAAAGAATATCCAAAGGGAAAAAGTCTCTTCAACAAATGGTGTTGGGAAAACTGGACAATAACATGCAAAATAACACTGGTTCACTTCTTACTCCACACACAAAAACAAATTCAAAATGGATGAAAGACCTAAATATGAGACCTGAAATCATACAAATCCTAGAGAAGAGCATAGACAGTAAACTCTTTGACATTGGCTGTAGCAACTTCTTTCTAGTTACGTCTTCTGAGTCAAGGTAAGCAAAAGCAAAAATAAGCTATTGGGATTTTATCAAAATAAAAAGCTTTTGTACAGCAAAGGAAACAACCAACAAAATTAAGAGGCAACCTATGGAATAGGAGAAGATATTTGTAAATGACATATGTGATAAAGGATTAGTATCCAAAATACATTTAAAAACTTATAAAACTCAACACCCAATAAACAAAGAATCCAGTTAATAAAAAGGCAGAAGACATGAATAGACATTTTACAAATAATGCATACAGAAGGCTAACAGGCATGTGAAAAGATGGTCAACATCTATCATTATCAGGGCAATATAAAACCACCATGAGATACCACCTCACACCTGTCAGAATGGCTAAAAATAATAATTCAGGGAACAAGGGGTGTTAGCGAAGATGCAGAGAAAGGGGAACACTCCTGCATTGCTGGTGGGAATGCAAACTGTGCAGCCACTCTGAAAAACATTATGGAGTTTTCTCAAAAAGTTAAAAATAGAACCACCCTATGATCCAGAAATTGCACTACTAGGTATTTTCCCATGAAATACAATATTGCTAATTCAAAGGCATACATGCACCCCAGTGTTTATAGCAGATTATCTACAATAACCAAATGATGGAAATAGTCTCTAAGTGTCTATTAACTGATGAATAGGTAAAGAAGTGATATATATAATGAAATCGCATTCACCTGTCAAAAAGCATGAAATCTTGCCATTTGCAATGACCTGGATGGAGCTAAAGAGTATTATACTAAGTGAAATAAGTCAGTTAGAGAAAGACAAATACCACATGATTTCACTCATATGTGGAATTTAAGAACAAAACTAATAAGCAAAGGAAGAGAGAGAGAGAGTTAAACAAACCAAGAAGCTGACTCCTAACTATAGAGAATAAACTGATGGATACCAGAGGGGAGGTGGGTAGGGGGATGGGCTAAATATGTGACGGGTATTACGGAGTACATTTGTTGTGATGAGCACTGGGTGTTGTACATAAGTGCCAAATCACTATATTGTACACCTGACACTAATATTATAGTGTATGTTAACTAACTGGAATTGAAATAAAACCTTTATTTATTTATTTATTTATTTATTTATTTATTTAGAGGGAGGGACAGAGACAGAAGGAGATAGAGGAATCCCAAATAGGCTCCACACTGTCAGCACAGAGCCCAACACAGGGCTTGAACTCGCAAACAGTGAGATCATGACCTGAGCTGAAATCAAGAGTCTGACACTTAACTGACAGAACCACCCAGGCACCCCTAAATAAAATCGTTTTAAAAAGGTGATGGAGTAGGACGATTCTGAATTCATCTTGTCCCACAGACACAGCAACAGCTTCATCTATGCACCCAAAACTCTGAAAACTGGCAGAAAAGACATTCCACAGAGAGGAGGCCACATGGAAATGGATAGCAGACATGGAGGCCTAGTTAAGAAGGAAATTCCTGACAAATCTAACTACAAATGAGAAGGATACTACAAACATGGAAAAGGAAGAGAAGCAGACTTCACACCAGTCACCCCAAGCATGGAAGACCCACACTGGGAAAACAAGTCACCACAAACTCTGGTTTTGAAAGTCAGTGTGACTTAACTCTGGGTATTTTAAAAATCAGTTGACCAGAGGGCAAGGGTAAATTTAATCCATACCTTAGAATAGACAGAATAATAGGGGTGCTTGGCTGGCTCAGTTGAAAGAATGTGTGACTGTTGACCTCAGGTTTGTTAGTTCAAGCCCCACATTGGGTGTAGAGATTACTAAAAAAAATAAACTTAAATTTAAAAAAATTAGCCAGCATAATAAATAATTTTGCCCAAGCACAAAAGCAGCAGTTGAAAAGTGTCTTGGGAATACGTGACAGAAATTTATTTACTAATCTCAAAACATGTGTTGGAGGTGCAGGGGTCTTCAGATTTCTCTGAGAACAAAAGTGCTAGTAGGCACCATTTCTCTTTTTTTTTTTCCCAAGCCTAGATAGCTGGAAACGTGCAAGAGTCAGCATTAACATTATGGTGGATAGTATCCACCTATCTTGGTAATACTTCATGCCCTGCTGTGTTCTTCTGCAGACTCACCACATCCAAATCACCCACCTCAGTAAGTGTCCATCCAAAGTGGCTCCTGCCCCACCACAAACAGCAAGCAGCCCTAGCAAGTAGTCCCACTACTCCAAGGTGACTCCTGCCCTGGGAAGATAGGGAAATAACCCGCACACACCAGCATGCCCACAGTTTTAGCAACTAAACCTTTTAGCTGACTACACAGGAAGAATGCCCTGTCACTTCATAAACGTACATTTGTCGCAGAGAGGCTAAATACAAACAGCTAATCTGACTGTAGACCTCACCTACCTATGAGACTGTGGCAGCCTCAGAAGGCCCTTCAACAGAGCAAGAACCAAACTCTGCTCACTTCACCCACAGCAGCCACAAGATGGTGTGTGCAGCCCACCTAGGAGAACATCCCTGGAATGCCTGGTTCTGTTGACCAGGAACATTGCATCATAGGGAACCACAGGATCTCTTCTACACAAGGTCACTGCTTTCAAGACCAGGAGATATAGCCGACCTCCTTAATACATAGAAACAAACACAAAGAGTCAGACAAAATGAGGAGGAAGAGGAATATGTTCCAAATGAAAGAACAAGACAAAGTTACAGCAAAAGAGCTAAGTAAAACATAGATAAGCAATATGCCTGATAAAGAATTCAAAGTAATGGTCATAAAGATACTTACTGGACTTAAGAGTGGATGAACCTCAACAGAAAGATAGAAAATATAAAAAAGAACCAGCCAGAATAAAGAATCCAATACAATCCAATGCAAATACAATAGATCCAATCCAATAAAAGATACACTAGAGGGAATCAACAGCAGATTTAAGGATATAGAGGAATGGATCAACCATCTAAAAGATAACGTAACAGAAAGCAAGCAAGCTGAACAGCAAGAAGAAAAAAGAAGAATAAAATATTACAATAGGTTAAGAAAACTCAGTGACATTGTCAAGCATAACATTCACATCCTAGGGATCCCAGAAGGAGAAGAGACAGAACATATTTGAAGAAATAATAGTTGAAAAATTCCCTAATCTGGGGAAGGAAATAGATCCAGGTCCAGGAAGCCCAGAGAGTTCCTAACAAGATGAACCTAAAGAGGTTCACACAAGGACACATAATAATTTAAATGACAACAAATGAATGATCAAAAGAATTCTAAAAATTTTCAGCAAAAGTATTGCAGGCCAGAAGGGACTGGTATGACATATTCAAAATGCTGGAAAGAAAAACTCTGCAACCAAGAATATTCTATCCAGCAAGGTCATCATTCAGAATAGAGAGATACAATATTTCCCATATGAACAAAAGTTAAAGGAGTTCATCACTACTATACCAGCTTTACAGGAAATGTTAAAGGGGATGTCTTCAGTGGAAAGAAAACACATAACTACCAGTAAGAACATTATAAAAGGAAAAAAATTCACTGGTGAAAGCAAACATTCAGTAATGGTAGTAGATTAATCATTTACAAAGCCAGTGTGAAGGTTAAAACACAAAAGTAGTAAAATCAATTATATCTACACACCTCAGTCAAGAGATACACAAAATTTAAAATAAGATATAAAATATGGCATCATGTACATACAACATGGGAGGGGAGTAAAAATGTAGTGCTTTTAGAATGTGTTCAAGCAACCATCAACTTAACATAGACTGTTATATCCATAAAATGCTATATATGAACTTCATGGTAACCACAAATCAAAAACCAAAATAAACACACACACACACATACACACACACACATACACAAAAAGAAAGGAATCAAAGCACAACACTAAAGAATGCCATCAAACAACAAAGGAAGAGAGCAAGAGGACAAGAAAGAAACTACAAAAACTACCAGAATACAATTAACAAAATGGAAATAAATAATGCTTATCAATAATTACTTTAAATATAAATAGGCTATGTATTCCGATCAAACATATAGGCTGACTGAATGGATAAAAAAAAAAAAAAATAGACCCATCTATATGCTGCCTGAAACGACTCACTTCTGACCTAAAGACACACACAGACTGAAAGTGAAAAGATGAACATATACCATGCAAGTAGAAAAAGAAGGAAAAAAAACAGGGCTGCAATACTTATATCTGAAAAAACAAACTTTAAAACAAAGACTGTAACAAGAGACAAAGAAAGGCACTATGTAATGATAAAGGGAACAATTGAAAAGGAGGATATAACAATTATAAATATCTATGCACCGAACATAGGAACACCTAAAACATAAAGAAGTTATTAGCAGACACAGAGGGAGAACATGACAGTAATACAATAATAAGGGATTTTAACACCCCAATTACATCAGTGGATAGATCATCCAGACAGAAAATCAAAAAGAAAATAGTGGCTTTGAACAACACATTGGCCAGATGACCTAACAGATATACATAGAACATTCCAACGAGAAATAGGAAAATACACATTCCTTTCAAGTGCATATAAAACGTTCTCCAGGAAAGATCACATGTTAGGCCACAAGACAATTGTCAGTAACTTTAAGAAGTTTAAAGTGATATCAAGCATCTTTTCTGACCTCAACAATATAAAATTAGAAATCAATTACAAGAAAAAATCTGGAAAGATCACCAATACATGGAGGTTAAACAACATGCTACTAAACGATGAATGGCTCAACGAAGAAATCAAAGAGGAAGTTTAAAAAAAAAAACATGGAGACATATGGAAATGAAAATACAACAATCCAAAATTTTCGGGATGCAGCAAACGCTTTTCTAAGAGAAAACTTAGTAGCAATACAGGTCTACCTCAAGAAACAAGGAAAATTTCAAATAAACAACCTAACCTAACACGGGAAAGAGAAAAATAAAAAAGATGAACTAACAAAACCAAAAGCTAGTAGAAATAAGGAAATAATAAAGATTAGAGCATAGATGAATGAAATAGAGATTAAAGAAACAATGAAAAAGATCAATGAAATCAGGAGCTGGTTCTTTGAATTTACAAACAAAATTGATAAACCTTTAGCCAGACTCATCAAGAAAGAAAGAGGACTCAGAAAAGTAAAATAAGAAATGAATGAGGATAAATAACAACCAACCTCACAGAAGTACAAATGAGTATAAAAGAATATTATTAAAATGTATATGCCAACAAACTGGACAATTTAGGAAAAAAATAGATAAATTATTAGAAACATAATTTTCCAAAACTGGATCAGGAAAAGATAGAAAATTTGAAGAGACCAATTAAAGAAATTGGATTGATAATCAAAAAACTACAAACAAACAAAATTCCAGGACCAGATGTCTTCACATAAATTCTACCAAACATTTAAAGAAAAGTAATACCTATCCCTCTCAACTATTCCCAGTAGAAGAGGAAGGAAAATCTCCAAATTCATTCCATGAAGCCAGCATTACACTGATACCAAAACCAGTCAAAGACACAACAAAAAGAAAACTACAGGACAATATCCCTGATGAGCACAGATGAAAAAATTCTCAAAAAAATATTCAACAATACTTAAAAAGTCATTCATCATGATCAAGGAGGATTTATTCCAGGGATGCAAGAGTAGCTCAATATTTGTAAACCAATGTGTAAATCACACAAACCAATTTGTTTTTTTTTTTTTTAATTTTTTTTTAAACGTTTATTTATTTTTGGGACAGAGAGAGACAGAGCATGAACGGGCGAGGGGCAGAGAGAGAGGGAGACACAGAATCGGAAACAGGCTCCAGGCTCTGAGCCATCAGCCCAGAGCCCGACGCGGGGCTCGAACTCACGGACCGCGAGATCGTGACCTGGTTGAAGTCGGACGCTTAACCGACTGCGCCACCCAGGCGCCCCCACACAAACCAATTTGTAAATCAATGACCAATTGATTGGTTTGTAAGTCACAAACCAATTTGTAAATCAATGTGATACATCACTTTAACAAGAGAAAGGATAAAAACCATATGACCATCTCAATACATGCAGAAAAATTATTTGACAAAATACAGAATCCATTCATGATAAAAACTCTTAACAAAGTGGCTTTAGAGGGAACATACCTCAACATAATAAAGGCCATTTGTGAACAAGCGACAACTAACATTATATTCAATGGTTAAAAACTGAGAACTTTTCCTCTAAGATCAGGAACATGACAGGATGTCAACTCTCACCACTTTTATTCAACATAGTACTGGAAGTCCTAGCTGCAGCAATCAGATGACGACAACAACAAAAGGAACCCAGAGTAGTAAGGAAGAAGGAAACTCACTATTTGCCAATCACATGGTACTATATGTAGAAAACTCTAAAGAATCCACCACAAAAACTATTAGAACTGATAAATGAATTCAGTAAAGTTGCAGGATACAAAATTAATATACAGAAATCTGTTGCATTTCTACATACTGATAATGAAGTAGAAGAAAAAGAAACTAAGAAAACTATCCCATTTACAAATACCATATATTTCATTTATATGTGGAATCTAAAAAACAAAACAAATGAACAAGCCAACAACAACAACAACAGCAACAACAACAACAAAACAGAATCAAAAATACAAAAGAACAAAGTGGTGGTTCGCAGAGGGTAGGGGAGTGAGTGAAATAGGTAAAGGGGATTAAGAGGTACAAACTTCCAGTTATAAAATAAATTAGTTATGAGGATGAAAAGTACAGTATACGGAATATAGTCAACAAGATTGTAATAACGTTGTATGGTGACAGAGGGTAACTACACTTATCTTGGTGAGCATAGCATAATGTATAGAATTGCCAAATCAGTTTGTTGCACACCTAAAATTAACATAACATTGTATGTTTACTTCAATTAAAAAGCAAAAACAGTGGTTGCTAGGGATGAGCAAAAAGGAAGGATGAATAGTGCAAACACAGAGGATATGGGGGCAGTGAAACCACTTTCTGTGATACTATAGTAGTAGACACATGTCATTATACACTTGTCCAAACTCATATAATGTACATAACTAGGAATGAATTCTGATGTAAACTGTGGACTTTGGGTGATTATGATGTGTCAGCCATTAGTTATAACAAATGTATCACTCTAATTATGTTGATAATGGGGGACACTATGTATGGTGGGGACAGAAGTTATGTGGGAAGTCTCAGTACCTTCCTTCAAACCCTGCTGTGAATCTAAAAGTGCTCTAAGATATAAAAATCTATTTTTTAAAGGCTAATAAGCAATAAAGCAATATATAAGTTTAAGACCTGTTTTCTGATCCATCTCTATACATGTTGTTTTTGAAACTAAGGGGCATATGAAAGTTCCCAGAGAGTGTAAAAATATCAGTAAAAAAACGAAAAAGAAAACCAGTGGTGAAATCCCCAGACCACAGGAAGTGAAGTCAATGCAGGACCCAAAGAAGAGGAAGCTATAAAATTAGCAGGAAAGACTGAGTAGCACCCCAAAAACAAGAGAGAAGAGTTTCAGGAAGATGAGTGGAATTAAAGGCAACAGATGTCAACTAAAATAAAAACTGGGAAAGATGTACAAAGTTACAGCCAGGACCGCAGAGGGCCACCAGAGAGTCTATGCTCTGGGCCTCTTCCCTTCTGTTCTTTTCCTGGAGTATTTCTTCTCCCCTGGCTTCTGCATGGCTCACACTTTCACTTCATGTAGTACCTGATCCAATGGCACCTGATCTGAAGGTGGGCAAGAAAGTAGCCCTCATCATGAATACAGTTTTTATTATACTATTTACGTGTGTTGTATATTGTCTGACTGTCTAGAGTCTAGTGTCTGTAGCCCCCATAAGAATGTCTGTAAAAACAGACTCTTGATCTCTTACTCACTGCCACTGTCAGCACCTACAAGTGACCAGAAATAAAGTAGCCAAAAGATATCTGTTGAACAAACCAAGAGCAGCAGAAGCCAAATTGCTGAGGTAGACCAATAAGGAGAGGATATGGAGGCATTAAATAAAGGTCTCTTCAAGGAAAGAGATACGGTGATATGTGAGGTTGGGTTGATGTGGCAGGTAGGAGACATCAGAGTGTTATGAACATATAGAGGCTTTAATTATGGATTAATGGATTATTCCTCAGTAAAGAACCTTCTTGCTCTATTTTGCCTTGGTGCTGATCTGATTGGTATTTACATCAGTAATGTGAATGAAGACATTTACAATTTGCTTGTTGTAGGTAGAGGTAACATGGACAGAATCACAATTCAAAGATGCCTAAACAATCAGTCAAAACAAAGACAAGATGGAATTTAGCAGAGCTAAATGTGAGGTCCACACAGGTCGGAGAGAGCAGGATGTAGAAGCCCTCTAGAAAGTGCAGTAGCAACACATCATGAGACAGTGTTTACTGGAGTTAAGGGAGCAGACCGTGGGTTCCACAGCCATCCAGCTGGGTGTCCCAAGGCAAAGGTCCTAAGCGCTCTTAGTCTCACTTTCTCCTATTTAAATTGGAGACACTGATACCTACCTACTTGGCATAATTTTTATGAGGCCGCTGAGATAACCTATGTTAAGATCATGGAAGAGCAATGATACATGTTTAAGTACGTGATTATCAGTAAATATTTTTGTGCCATTATAAGAAATATGTTTGGTCTTTGTCCCCATTTCCTGGCACAGAGCTTCTAAAACTCTTGAAATATCCTAAATGTGTTTTTTTAATCCCCCTAAGTGGAAATTAAAGAATTTCCTATCTGTCTATTTTGCTATTCAAAGAAACCCCTTTTTAAAAATTTTTATTTGTTGTTTTGAGAGAGAGAGAGAGAGAGAGAGAGAGAGAGAGCGAGCAGGGGCTGGGGAGGGGCAGACAGAGAGGGAGAGACAGAATCCCAAGAAGGCTTCCCACTGTCAGTGCAAAACCCAACACAGGGCTTGAACTCACAAACCATGAGATCATGACCTAGCCAAAATCAAGAGTTGGAGGCTTAAGTGACTGAGCCACCCAGGCGCCCCTCAGAGAAGCCCTTTTTGATCACATCTGAGTTTATACTAATGAGACGACTAAAGGGAGGCCATAGGTGGCCTTAGGATGGGGTGGGTCACCAGAATGACAAAGTGATTAGAGATTTGGAACTTTCAGCCCTACCCACCAACCTCAACGAAGGAGAAAGGAGGAAGGCTGGAGATTAAACTCTATAAAATGTCTTGGAAAATAAGATTTAGAGCCTTCTGGGCTGGTGGATGCATCCATGTACCAGGAGGGTAGACTGTCCCAACCACATGGGGACAGAAGTTCCTGTGTTCCAGACCCTTCTGGGCCTCACCATATGTGACTCTTCATCTGGCTGTTTATTTGTATTTTTCATAATATCTTTCATCATTAACGTAAATGTAAGTTTTGTTTCTCTGGCTTCTGTGAACTATTCTAGCAAATTTTCAAACCTGAGGAGGGGATCATGGAAACCACCAATTCATAGCTGAGTCAGAAGGAAGTGCAAGTAACCTGTGCCCACTACTTGCAATCGGTATCTAGCATTGCCAGTGTGTGGAACATGTATGACTGAGCCCTGAAGGGGTGGGGGTCTGCACTAACTCTGAGTATATAGTGTCAAAATGGAATTGACTTATAAGACACCCAGTTGGTGTCTGCAGATATTTGGTTACCAGAATTTCACATTATTATTTACACATGTGAACTTGTGATCTGATATGGCTGCCAAAAACAAGGAAATAACAAGTTCCCCCTGAGACAGTACAGTACCCTGCCATGGGAGGTGAGAATTCCACCATACATCATTAAGAGTATCAGGTTCAGATCTGGGCAATGTACTTCAAATAGAAACAATAACAGAACAGCTCTTACCTAGGACAGCATGACTACATAGGTAAAGATGTGAAGCCACATCCTACCTGAGCATTTAGAGTCATCCAGGCAAGAGATAAGAAGACCTAGAGTGTGAGTATTGTCTCTGGGGAAATGAGATCAGCATCTCTCAGCAGAACCCAGTGGAAGTCCAGGGGGTAGGGGGGAGGTGGTGCAGAACAGGGAACAATGCACAGAAACCAAAGAAGGTGCTGCATAGAAATAAGAACTCTCTGCTCTGCAGTGGCCACATTGTGCAGCAATGACTGGTGTGCTTGGAAGTGTTCACACACAAAATCGGTGACTATCCATGTGAACGTCTTAGAAAAAAGTGTTTCACTCGGTGGAGAATTGGGCTGCACAATCCCTGAGGTTTCTTTCAACTCTAAGAATTTCCAATTCTGTAGTCATAAATACCTTACTAGCAGAAGGTAGTATCTAGTCTGTCTCCTCCATTCTCTACCCTCAACTCCATCGTATAGTCTTTTATACCGCAACCCCCATCCACATTTTCCAAACATACATCCATGGAGAGAACATGCTTTTCTGCTGAGACACCCATGAAGACTTACCCCAGTTTCTGCAGCTTACATTGTGGATGTTTTGCTTTTTCACATAGAACTCCAACTCCTGAGTCTCCCAGTGCATTTTCCCCCAAGTAGAGTCTGGTCAGGGACTGGCTGGTGCTCAAGACGGATGCCAGGTCCTCACAACATGCTGATGTGAGACAGCAACTGACCAACCTTCCATAAAGATGGCAGAATGTCATAAACCTTCTCTTACCTCTGTGAGTCAAGGATGCACGTGATCTGATGCTACCTCTACTCCCGTCCATACATGGGAAAAGTGGCCCCAAACTCTATGCTAACTTTTTATTTCATTTTATTTGGTGTAACAGAAAGTACCATCCAAGCCCATGCCAACTCCACATCTTTTCAGCTCCCTATACTTACTTTTATTGTGTTAAAATATACGTGTGACATAAAATTTACTCTCTTTAAGTGCACAATTCAGTAGCATTTAAGTATATGCACATTGTTGTGTGACCATGACCACCATCCATCTCCAGAAGTTTTTCATCTTTCCAAACTGAAACTTGGTATCCACTAAACACAAATTCCCTGTTCCTCCCTCCCCCAGCCCCTGGGACCCACTATTTGGATTCCTGCCTCTATGAATCTGACTATTTTAGGTACTTCCTATAAGCCAGATCATATGTATTTGCACTTTTTAATCTGGATCATTTTAATGAGTATAATGTCCTCAAGATTCATCTAAATTCCTTTTAAGTCTGTATGCATGTATATACCACATTCCTCCACTCCAAATCCCACCCCCAACCCCACCCTATACCACATTTTTTAATCCATTCATCCATGGGTATTGAGATGTTTCCACCTTCCAGCTATTGTGAATAATGCTGCTATAGACACAGGTGTACTGATACATGTTTGGGTGCCTGATTTCAGCTCTTTCCTATATATAGCCAGAAGTGAAATTGCTGGATCATATAGCAATTCTATGTCCAATTTTTTGAGGAACTGACGTACTGTTTTCCAAACCAGCTGTACCAGTTTACATTCCCATCAGCAATGTGTGATGGTTCCTAATTCTCCATATCCTCACCAACACCAGTTTTTCGTTTTGTTTTATTTTTTTAATTGTATTTTAGAGAGAGAGAGAGAGAGAGAAAGCAGGAGTGGAGACGAAAAGAGAGGGAGAGAGAGAGAGAATCTTAAGCAGTTTCCATACTCAGCGTGGAACCGACCCGGGACTCCATCCCATGGCCCTGGAATCCTGAATGGAGCTGAAATCAAGAGGTGACATTCAATGGACTGAGCCGCCCAAGTGCCCGAAAGTTCATGCTGGATTACTTTTTTTTATAATTACCATTATAATGGGTATAAATTGGCCTTACCATTTTGAAGTGTTTTCTCTTCTTCAAAATTCAAGTCTCCCAGAATCATTTAGTGAGAGCTGCATAAAATATCAAGTGTCTGCCACTCTTGTGTTAGCACCTCTTTTCCTATTTAGTGTGGAGACTAAGGGC